TATTCCACTGCCAATGTCTTAATCATCAGGTTTCAAGCTGACCCCAATGTCACCATCACTAAACAGGGACAGCAGAAAGTGGGAACTGCTTTTTTTTGTTGGCCTTATTGCAGAACAGACCTTCAACTGTTCAGTGAGCCAAATGGGTGCCGTAATCTTGCTACCTACCCAGCTGTGCAAATACTTGGGCTGCCACGAGGGAAGTACTGTTACGGGTGTGTAGGGTACGGCGGTCGGAAGATCTCGTGCTATGCGGAAAGAATAGGGGAGATGGGCACGTGCAGGGGAGATGGGCACGTGCCCGTATAAGGCAATGTTAATGCTAATGGCTACGGGGCGCGCTTCCGCACACAGGCACCCTATATAAGTTCGGATGTACCTGCAATAAACGCCATTTGCTGCATCCACCATATTGGTGTCTGTGCTCATTTGGCCCGGGCTCCCGGGTGGTGGCGCCCGTGCTCGCTCGAGGTAACGACGAGGCAATTGAAGCCGAAAGGCAGCACGGGTGGATCGGGCTGCTTTTTGCTGCATCAGTGCTTGTTTATCCAGGAAGGAAGGGCTCACAAGAGCGGGAGGGAGAAAAAAGAAACAAAGTCCTACCTCTACCTGGTCTATTTTGCTCTTCACTTCCAAAGCCGAAGTCTGGATTTTTTCCTGAGACTTCACCAGGTTGAGTGTTTCAGCTCATTAAGAGGCTTTTTTATTTTATTATTTTATTTTTTTCATTCCTCATTTCTGTCTTTCATAGTAAAAACCATAATAGGCAGTATTGTCAACATTGTTTTTTCCTTAATGCTTTTAAATGACTCTTATGCCACTGACTGTTTTCTGTAAACAGCATACTATAGTCTTGAATCCATAGTTAATCCTGAAACTATTATTTTTAACAGTATATATAATGAGATCTTCCATTAGTTTTGAAGACTGAAGAACAACCTTTAAATGGTCAACATTTAGCAGTGAAGTTTCAGTGAAATAACTCATCTTTGATGTGTTCTCACAACTCCTTGTGTCTGTTCCTTCCCACTAATCTGCTAGACCTAAAAGAACCTGCTGTGGCATATTGAGGAAACCAGTGAAGAGGTTCTTGTTTTCCTACATTAATGCAAGTGAACTGATTCTGAGTTTCTAGTCAGTTTCAAAGAAATTCAAGACTTAAGGACTGAAGCAGTGAAGTTCACTAGACTACTAGTCATGTTTTCTTCACCAGGTGACTTACTGTGGAGTATGTTGCTATGTAGGGACTTATTAGGATGCATGGTGTTTTCCATGCCATGGAAATACACAGGGAATGAGGGATGCAATAGAGCTCTGTTGTCAAGTTCTAGTATACAGTATCTGAGGCCCTAAGCAACTTACAGTTAGCTCTTGGCTCCAATGAAGTACTTGATTAGAGCACAGGTTAACACAGGATAACAGGATGTGATCATTAAGTCATATCTTTCATATTTGAAAATATAACTAATGTTCTATGCGAAGCTTGTATTGAACAAGAAGTGTTCCTGAAGAGAATGCTCATGGCACAATAGCAGTTAACCTCCTCAGTTGAATCTTGATAATGGTGCTGATCTACTTGTGTCAACTGAAATCTTAATAAAGGCAATTAAAGGGGGAAGAAGGGAGGGGGGGGAGACTAAAATTCTGGTGTCAGATGCCTTCAAACTTAGTGATACCTCTGCCTTAGGAGTGTATGGTAGATTGGTGCTCATGTGATAAAACTTCACACAGAACAAATTAAGTAACGATTAAAAACTGATACTTCCAAGTCTACTGGCAAGTATACAACTTTGCTTGAAGCCATTGTATGTATGCTGCTTATCCTCCTAAAAAATGGTCTTTGCTTGTTTGTAAGCATTAAGATTTGCGATTAAGTAGGGTATTTTTGCTTCCCACTGTTCTGGTAAACATTGCTTACTAGTTCAAGCAGTTTATAGGTTAGTATGGATTCTCTTTCTAAACATAAAACCTATTTGAAAGTAGGAAATATCAATTTATGCTACATCAACTTGTATTTGGTGTTTAAGCTGCCTTGGGATGTAGATGTGAGCACTGAATTTCCAGTTAAGTAAGACCACATTGTTTTGCATGTCTGAGTAAATATTTTGCAGTACAGCTTTGTTGAAACCTGAACCCTGCCTGTTTCTAGCTACTTCTGAGCAGAGGAGTAGGGGAGACGAGTCTCCTTCTTGACACCTCCGTGGTTTGGAAGGTGTGATCCCTTGTTTCATGCTCACTGCATGAAGCTGTATCTGTGTGCCTGCAGCAGCCTCTGTAGCAGGCTGTGCTGGGCATCATTTGGAGGAGTGTTTCCAGCAGGGCGAGGGAGGGGATCCTGCCCCTCTGCTCAGCTCTGGTGAGGCCGCACCTGGAGTAGTGGGGGCAGTTCTGGGCTCCCCAGGACAGGGGGGACGTGGAGCTTCTAGAGAGGGTCCAGCGTAGGGCCACAAAGATGATGAAGGGACTGGAGCATCTATCGTATGAGGAAAGACTGAGCGAGCTGGGCCTGTTTAGCCTGGAGAAGAGAAGGCTGAGAGGAGGCTTGATCAACATGTTCAAGTACCTGAGGGGTGATTGTAGGGAGGATGGGGCCAGGCTCTTCTCCGTGGTGGCCAGTGACAGGACGAGGGGTAACGGGTGCAAGTTGAAACACAGGCAGTTCCACCTCCATGTGAGGAAGAACTTCTTTCCTGTGAGGGTGCCAGAGCCCTGGACCAGGCTGCCCAGAGAGGCTGTGGCGTCTCCTTCCCTGGAGAGCTTCCAAAGCCGCCTGGATGCCACCCTGTGCCACGTGCTCTGGGTGTCCCTGCTGGAGCAGGAGGGTTGGACTAGATGATCTCTAGAGGTCCCTTCCAACCTCAACCGTTCTGGGATTCTGTGATTTGCTCCGTTCAGTGTGCTTGCTTACACACTACCTCCCAATGCCTTTCCTGTCAAATGCTTCCTGAAAAGCCATGTTATTGGGAAATCTTGGCTGACGAGACAACCTCTCCTTCCTCTTTTCCATTCCCTGTTGGCAAATCATCACTATACAAAAGGGAAGGAAATGCTGCAAAATGATCAAGAAAGGCAATACTAGCATTATGCGCCTTTCCAGCCACTTTTGGGGAGGTGATCAAAAGCAGCAACTGCTCCTGCAAATGTCCCTAGGGTCCTCCCTGCCAAGCATCCCTCTTCCCCTCCTAGTCATTATCCTCTTTGAATGAGTCCCAGTGCCTTGAAGCACCTAAGAAGTGCAGCAGTTTGCCATGAAGCCACTGCTTTTCAGCTGCTCTCACCCCCAAAGTTCCTGATTCACCTCCTTTCTCTTTGGGGAACTAATGAGAAGCATTAAGTATGTGATGACTATTATGCACTAACTGTATCTTTTGGAATAATACACTAACTTATCAACATGGCTAAAAGCCAAGAGATGAAAGGTAAGGTCTGAATACAAAATTATTCCTAAGTGCACAGTAATTAAATTGCAGCTCAACATGCATTACAGAGTGACTCAAGGTAACATTTCCGTAACTGACTACAGTATAAAATACTAGACTCCAACATTAGGTATAAAGAGTAATCTGTACAAGAAAATAAACAGTATTAATAGCTCATAGATTAAGATGAAAGCTTTAACCCTGGACATCCTGCCTCCAAGTAATTTCAAAAACAAACACCCCACAAATAAGTCACTCCATTTGACAATGTCAGATTTCACTGGAGTTCAGACTATTACTCAATGTGTCAAAAGTACAGTAATTGTTTTGCCTATATTAAGTAACTATAGAGGACTTGCTTAAGCACTTCACTATATAAAGACAAGTATATACTAGATTATAGTACTGAAATTCTTATTTCTGTTATCAACATACTTATTTATGGAATATATCAGAAGGTTAGAAAACATCAAGGAAACTAATGAAAAAACATTGTCATTTTTCCTGTTGCACTAAAGCAAGCCATTCCCTTCTAATACTACAAGCCAATGTAGTACCTGGGCACCCTGCCCACACATTGCAATACAAAACATCCAACAGATGCACTGATTCAAGTAAATGCAGGCATACTCCTTGGGGAGGGGGGGGGTGGGTATTAGAGATGGAAATTTCTGTGATCTGCAGAGTCATAAAAATCTCCTGTGAGAAGAAGAGGCCAGACCTTGGGAAAGAAGATGTTTGCCTGCCCAGGCTGAGCGATAAGGAGCAGGGATGCAGCTGCTCAGCCCGGTTCACAGGCAGCCCCCGCTGGAAACCTGTTGAAGCTGGCTGCTCGTCCGGGCTTGTAGCCAACTTAACCGCAGACATCCTCCAAACTAGCTTTGGAGGTCAAACACACGGAAGTGAGGAAGAAGAGGAGGAAGGCAGGACCCTCGAATTGAGGGCTGGGACCCCCGACTGGTATGCGTGCCTGCGCACCCAGGGGGGAAGAGTTGCGCAACTTAGAGGTGGCGTTTGTCCGCTCCCCCTGGTCTGCCTCCTGGGTCGTACTGACCCTACGTGCCAGGATGCACCGGGCATAAAAGTGGACAGTGTGGAGAGAGCTGGGGTGAGGAGAAACTCCTCATTCTGAGGCCTACGCTGTCTCTGCGGGAGCCGGTCAGCAACTCTCTCTCTCTGGTCTGCCAACTCGAGACGATCTTCGGGTCCAGATCGGCAGGTATCACCTCGTGAGTAGCTATCCATACTTGGCTTATTTTATGTGCTTTCACCTGAGTAAATGCTTGATGTAGTCACCTTGTTCTGGCTGATTATTGCCGAATCCCGAGCCCATCCGGAACATAATTGGCGACGAGGATGGGATTCGGCAATTAAACAGTGGAACTCACTAGTGGAGTGCACAGCTAGGTGAGGTCGTGCCACTGGATAGAAATTATGTTCATGCTGTTTGTGTCTGTAATCTTTATTGGCTATCGAAATAGTGGAACCCACTAGTAGGGTGCACAGCTAGGTGAGGTTGTGCCACTTGATAGAAATCGTGTTTGTGCTATTTGTCTTTGTGGTCTTTATTGTGTGTGCGACATGCGGTGGTTCTTTTTCGGGAGAGCTGCAGGCAGCATTGGCGACTGCAGGGAGGCTGCACCTCCGAGGGAGCATCCTGAATGGGGGCCAGAACCATGGAATACTCTGTGGAACGGATGGGAGACCTGCACCCAGGTATCTCCAGAACCATGGACGCAGAAGGACCCCATGGCGGTTTTACAGTATTGGGGTCAGTTTGACCATACTAAGAACTTGGTGCGACTGGAACATGCCGGTCGGATGGGAGGTGCTCTGCTGTGTGCATATAAGATTTTAACGGGGCAGTTAAAGGAGGAACAGGAGAGGAATCAGCTCCTCCAAGAGCAATTGTGTGGTCTGCTGTTGTGTTTTAAAACCAGGGCACGCAATGAGCTGTGGCAAAGGGCACAACAGAGCAGGACCATACTAAGAACTTGGTGCGACTGGAACATGCCGGTCGGATGGGAGGTGCTCTGCTGTGTGCATATAAGATTTTAACGGGGCAGTTAAAGGAGGAACAGGAGAGGAATCAGCTCCTCCAAGAGCAATTGTGTGGTCTGCTGTTGTGTTTTAAAACCAGGGCACGCAATGAGCTGTGGCAAAGGGCACAACAGAGCAGGGTGTGTTGTTGGGGACCTGGGACTCAGAGCCATCCTAAGGGCAGAGCCTTTAATGTTCTGATGAGCAAACAGCCCTGGACATCCATCAAGGATGGGGTCTGGATGCTCTGCCCTAGAAGGAGTCTCAGGCTGTTTGGCATCTGTGTGGTGTGAACAATCAGGAAATGGAGATCTGGCTCAATATAAATGCAGCTACTGCTTCCAAAATTCTGTAGCATTTACTAGGCTGTAAATCGTGAAAAGGGAGGGACTTGCTGGCATGATAACAGCATACTCAAAGTGAATGAAAGAGGTTTTATAGCTCCTGCAGTGCTCAATGGGATGATTCAAACTGATTTGTTAGCTATGAATATAAAATTTATTTGTTTGCCTTTCTAGGAGTTTAATTCAATTCCTTGATATAAATGAAATAAACTAATTCTCATCTTGTGGTGGAGACTGGTGATTCTTTTTGAAACTTAGCATGCTGCTGGAGCAGTCTGGAAGGAAATGTGAATTGTTAGAAAATAGTTGATGGTGCTAATGATCAAAGTTTATTCAGGCTGGTTCATTTTGTTTTTTTTGCTCCATACATGAGTTCTAATACTTCTCCTTATTGAGGAAGGTCCAGCTTCTTTGATGTGTCTGTAGTTGAAGTGCAGGTTGTGATAATGAGTTCAATGTGCGTATTTCTGAATGTTAAGTGTAAAAGCTTTCAGAACTGACAGGTACCTGGTGACTCCTTAATTTAACTTTCCAGGTTATTTTTAACCTGGAATGGAAGGAATAGCAGTTACCGAGCCTGGTAGAATAAAAAAGGATTTTTGCATATAGAGTAAATATAAAAATTAGTAACTTAGAGATAAAGGCGGACAGCTTCGATGTGGTGAGAAGTGAGAAGAACGTTTGACTGTTTCTATATGAAGATGTCAAAGGAAGCAAATGGAAGGTTAAAGCTGATAGAGGGTAATGAAAGGAAACTAGTGAGAAGCAATTTGTTACAAACCTTGGTGCCAAGGGAGGAAACCATCTTTTGATACTAAAATAGAGATAACTTCCAGGTGACTCGTAACTTTTTTTTTTGTTCTACAAGCTGCTGAGATTTCTTTCTTTTTTGCAGTAACTGGATTTTGTCAAAATACTAAAACAAAATAAGGATTGGCATTAGTTGAGTAGCTGCTCTTTAATGCAAAGATGATCTGAAAAAATCTTTTTCTAGTTACAAACTTTATCTAGACACTCCATAATCTCAGCATGACCAAATGCTTTGCTTGAGCATATCCAAGCGCTAGCCCTTTTCTTGGTTCCCTCTTCCTACAGTGACCCCAGTAGATACCAGTGGTGCTGAATGATTTCATGATGGTAAATGAATTGATCTGTCTAAACTTCAGAAGAATGTGTTGATTTTTGGATGATCTTAGACAAAGATCATAGTAAACATGATCTTAGCAAACAACTAGTGAGTTACTATCTAGAAAGTAAACTGAAATACTCTGTAGCATATTGAAGGCATGGACTCTGGTATAATGAGCCAAAGACCCTTTATTGAGCATCAGATACAACCTATATACTGTCCTGGATACAATCCTGATTGGCCTACAAGCACATGAAGTGCAGTTGCTAAATAAGCCAATAGTCTAAAGGAGAGGGACCTGGGCGTCATGGTGGATGACAAGGTAACCATGAGGCAGCAGTGTGCCCTCGTGACCAAGAAGGCCAATGGGATCCTGGGGT